AAATCTCCAACATTTGGTATTAAAAATGAATAAATCTGCGATTTGCTGGCTAAGTTCCACTGGGTTATTTCCTTGTTGTGCTCTTGTTGGAGCTCGAAAATATTCATTAACTAGAGACAATGGCTGCATTTTTATTGCCTTTTAATAGTCGAATTGTAAAAAGGGGTTTCATATGCAATTCACCACACGTAGAATCGTGCTCAGGCAAAATTCGTTTGAACAAATGGACGATTGCTTCTAAGTGAAAAAATAAATAAAAATAGAAACTGATGATGCGTACTGCTATATTTCTAAGAGGTGATATATTTAAAATGTACTAAATATTATAAAACAGCAATAAAATCAACGCTAGTTGTGGTACTCCTTATGGCAGCACTTCGCTAGCTCAAAAGCTGTATCTTGAGGAGTGCCTTTCTCCATGAAACACTTATCCAAAATCTTGTCCACCAACCCTTCATCGCCAAGTAAAAGTGTTAGTTTCTCCTTCAGCTTCTCCTTGCTGTGCAATCCATTTTCGTCGATAAATCCACTTTTCTTTCCAATGCAAACCAAGTGGTTCTTGAAAACGATGTCATCAGGTATATCGCCTTCCACAGATTTTTCCATCATTTCGTGGGTCGCGCCTGTTTCAGCCATGCATTCTTTGAATATGCTGACCGCTTTTTCCCGCTGATCTCCCGCCAGGTGTTCGAATTCTTTGTAGTTGCTGAAATCAAAATCCTACAAAAAACATTTACAGTCACGCAAACAGCCAAGGCAAAAATGGACTTACTGATTTCACTACTGCAGCCAAAAGTAGCAGGAAAAACACACACAATCCGTTCATTTTTATGCGGACCTTTAGAACTTTTTGAGCTAGATGGGTTGTCTCACTGTTGACAAACCGAAGTTGGTGGCAAGTTTATATATTCGTCCACCCTGACCTAACTTAGTGTGACTTTGCAGAATCATTAAGGCATAACTAGCAATCAAATATATTAGCTTTGTAAAAAGTCATCGTGTCCTATTATTAAAAAACAATATTTTGCCCAATATGCATTCAATGATATGTTATTAGCTTCAGACGCTCGTTAACGGCCTTCGCTGTAAAACTCATTCAACGTGAACTTCTAATTGGGATGCGGATCAAACGTTCACTAACAATCAAAAAGTATACAAGTAATTGATTTTACATGGATAAAATCAACTGTATTTAGAACAAGCTGCACTGGAAAGGGGCTTTAATATATTTTTCTAGAAAATCCCGCCTTCCAGCTTTTTTACTGGATTATTAATGAAGTGCTTGCTTTTGAGGCACTGCCTTGAACTTTTCCATACAAATTATTTATATGAAATTGAGGCATGGAAAATTGCTACTGGACTATTCTTTGAACGCAAATGACTACAGTGCACAAACCCTTAAAGCCATATTTCGACGTTGAATTTCTTCAAGTTTATCACAGACAACTAGACGAAAGGGGAATCAACATTTGGCAAATTCATGAAGAAATTTCAGAAAAACCAAAGCGTTTTGAACACGATCGAGTTTTTTACGAGTCTGATTATTTCAGGACTTGAACCAACATGAATTTGAACAAACAAATCGTTTTTTTACAATTTGCGTTGAATTAAATATGTATGGTAATTTGTACATGTGAAAAGTGTGGGTTTTCTGAATAATGAGCTATGAAAATGGAACAGATGGAAAGCGGCGTTTCGCTTTTATGGAAATTCGGGTTTTATTTGTTTGGTGTATTTGACTAGGGAATAGTTATCAATCGAAATGCCGAAAATCCATCATAAATGTTTCTGGTTCTAAATTTAAGTACATAGGAGTGCTATTTCAAGAATAGAGACTAGTTGCGCTAATTGCTTATAATTTGAGCACATACTTTGAACATCCAATTTAAAGCAAATTACACACAATAAGTCATTTTGTGCGGCAGAACAATAGAACGTTCGCGAACAAGCAAATCATTCATGTTGTATATTTAGATTGAAATACACACATAAAACATCCAATTAATAAAATGCCGCCTACAATCTGATAATTTATTACAGTGGCAACACGTAACTGCACCTATAAACTAGAATGGTTTTTAATCCTTCATTCCAGAAAATTTGATTTACTTACTTCGCCATAGCATTTATTGCAAAATATTATTAAACCTGCACAATAAGTAACGGAACAAACTGGCCCCATTTTGGAATCGATTTCAATACTCTTGGCAGTACATCGATAGATCAAAATATTTTTTGTTCAAACTTTACCGTCAGCAATTGCGCTTTTCAAGCAATAATTATATTTTACACATTGAGGTTTTTGTTAAATAATCCAACTAAAGAACAATTTCAGAGTTGAAGTCGTCGATAGCTTTTTCTTCAAACAAACACTTGGACATCCTATAAACTGTTTCTTTCCTAGTTTTATACAGAATCAAACACTTTTTTAATACTTCGTCGTAGTCAACAGGTGTCGATTTGCTGATCTCGGCCAATTGTTCCAGATGCATTTTATGCATTTTTTGCATAAAAAATTAATTTTTTTATATTCAGGTACACTAGAGTGAACCACTGCAGCCAAACCTTTGCTTTCTCGGTCAAATCCGACCATAGAAACACCCCCCATTTGCTTAAAAGACCGCCTTTTAAATTATTTTATACACATTTATGGTATCATTAGCAAAAAGCCAGCAGCCATTTATTATTGCTAATATTGCCTGGATGCATGTTATTACCTTGTTGCAATACATTTAATTATCAAATATATATTATCTGTGCTTGGTGACGGAAATTCGTAGCGTACAAACGAAAGTACAACGAGAATAGAAATTTTTCATATATTTATTTAAAATTATATTAATTCTCTTCTATGATAGTGCAACAAGTAGCTTTAGTTGGTCTGTTGAAAATCACAAAGTGACTTTTTTCTAGCGATGTTGGGGTTTGCAGTTCATCATTCTAAAAATTTACTGCAAAGGTTTTCATTTTGTCTTCGATCGAGTAATTAATTACTCTATTGAACAGTGCTCTATTGAATAGTGCAAATCTCATTTTTCCTTTAGCTGACGCCAAACTATAATTAAAATTTTTTCCCTTATTGATATTCCCAAGCGTTTAGTATCACGAACGTCCATAGTAATTTTATGCTTGGAAATGTTCATCTATTATAATCTGGAAATGATTGGCCGAATTTTTATGAATTGAAACTGTAGTTTCACTTTGATTAATCGAGAAATGTCGGTAATTACATTTTTATGAAAATGGAAGACATGAAATCCTTGGTCAAATGACCAGCAATTTGCCATGTGAAAAATCTGATTTTTATGAAATCTGCATGCAATAAAAGCATTTCTTTGCCAGTGGTCTGAATCATTGAAGTTCAGTATTCCCGTTTATCAGTATCGTGGTCTTTTGCAGGAACAATGAGTCAGAAAATCCATTTTGCGCTTGTGGCAGTGTTTTTAACTTTTCTGGTTAATGTAAGTAAAGTCGCTAACTCTTATTAATTAAGTGTAAAAATTACACAACTTGCAGATAATTGAGGCAGATCAGCGTGAGAAAGCCGTGGAATTCCAACGGGGTTGCATGGAAGCCCACGGACTTCTAGAAGATGAACTGCACGAAATTATGGATGGAAAACCGATACAAAATGAGGCATTTTACTTCCACTTTTTCTGTGTGGTGAAAAAAGCAAAACTCATCTCAGATAATGGAATTGTCAACACTGACCATTTCGAAGAAAACTTGAAGGATGTTATTGATGAGGAGCATATGGCTCATGTCGCTGCCTTAACTAGAAAGTGTCTGATACAAAGGGATGATATTTTCACTACCATTAAAATGGCAATCGATTGCTTCTATTCTTCAGAACATAAGCTGTGATTCGGCAATGTTAAGATTAATATGAATTTTTGAATGTATGTTTTGTGTTTTATTTACGCATCAAAGTCTTTAGTAGACAAAGACGTTTTAAAAAATTATTATTCCGCTTAACAACTGCCAAAAGGGCGTGTTTTTGTAAATTACATTTTGCCATTAAACTGGCTAAATTCGCATTTTTGCTGGTTTCAATGCGCCCATTACAAAATGTATATGATTACGGTTTCAGTATGTTATTAATATTTCCGGGCACCGATGAGGATTTCCACCCGCTAAACATATTGTTTAAACAAATTGTCCTTAATTGATACAGTAAGTATTGATAAATTTTCCCATTTATTATTAGACCGGGAGCTAGAAGGTATACTTCATCGAACAATCTTGCTAGCTTTTTGTTGAAACATTCTTTCAAACTTTTGTTTGATTTTTTGATTTTATTTAGAAAAAAATCCCAAGTGCGCTTTAGTTGGATTTCAAGAAAATTTTTAAACACCGGTGGTTTAAGCGCAAAAATCAGACGAACCCTGGACTATAAAATGGAAACCACTTCTAATCATGCCCATTTCGAATCTTTGCTAACTAATAATTTTGCATTATCGACGAATTGCACCAGTATAAAAGGACTCGGGCGATTCACTTAATTTATGTGATTCTACAGTTCATTTCAAAAATGTTTCCTGCTATAAAATTCCTCATAGTTCTGGGAGTAGTTGCGGTGGTAAGTAGAGTTTCGCATTTTTTGCTCAACGTTCCTGAAAAATTGCTGTTTTAGGCCACAAGAGCTGATCGTCAACAAGTAGTTGACTTCCATCGCCCCTGCTTAGACCATCATGAGATCGAGGATGACGATCTGCATTTCGCGTTAGATAAAATAAAAATGCGAGACGACGACGAATTCTATCTTCACTTCTTCTGCGTGGCTAAACAAGGACAACTTATGACCGAAGACGGAACAGTAAACACGGATAATTTCGAAACCAACATGAAAGGCATAATAGATGAGGATAACATGGAAAATGTGGCGGCGATTGTTCGCTTGTGTTTGATTCAAAAAGACACAGTGTTGCAAACTATTCGAAATGCCGTTGACTGTTTCATGGGAAAGGACCATAAGCTATAGTCGAACAGTTTGTATGTATTTCAATATACGCTTCAGGAATCAAACGATTCAGTTTTATTTACGAAATATGGAAGTTGCTTGCAACCAAAGCCTTGGTTTTTGGGGGCATTTTCCGTATTTTAATTAGAACTTTCTGCAGATCCGTTTGAGACTCACGTGAACTTAAAACAATTCACCTAACTTCACGGTTGTCTATTTCGGCATTTTCAGGGCAGATAAACATTGCAGTTTTCCCAATTTAAGGCAAGAAATGCGATTGCCCGGGTACACCTAAATCCAATTTACTTCAGAAACCATTACTTGAAGCTCGAGATGCACTTTTACCCCGCTGAATAGATAATGAATAGTAGAAACCTGTTAGGTAATGCCCGTTTATTTTAGGAACATTCCAGACGCCAGGAATGTCGTGTTGATGCCTTTTATGCATTTGTTGGTTTCAATAAATCGATAGAGAAGAACGCTCCAATTTTTTAAGGACTTATTTTCAGCAACCGCATTTCAACTGTGGATTTTCCCCGAGTTAGTATGAATGCAAATTAAATGTTATCTTAACATATTAGACTCCCACGTAATCTCCAAAGCATTTGCGGTTGATTTTTAATTAAGACCCAGCTTACAAAAACCATTTTCCCTTGAAAGCATTTAGTGCTTTTTAAACATATTTTAAACCGGAACTAAAGCAAAACCTCGTTTGCATTTTAACTGCGACACTTTCATTTTGCCGTGTCTAACTTTGAGCTTTTGAAACGCCAACAGAATTTGGTTTATTGTGAGAAACATTCTTTGGCAAACAAAACAAAAAACTAAGTAATTTTTGCAATATATTCTATCATTTATTTAAAGCGCTGCTTTAGCCGACGTTCGAGTTTCATTAAAGTAATTCCATTCTAGGTGAACGAATAACCATACAAAGTCGAATGCAACGTTGTACAAGTAATTTTGTTTTGGAAATGGTGCAATTTAGAGTGTAGAAACGCTGCCAGTTCAAAAGCCCCGTTCCGTAAAGAGCTTTTATGGCGAGATATTTACATTTGCCCTAGTAAAATGCAAAATGCAACAATTTCCCGAATATAGAAAATTTTGCAGCCATATTTGAGCCACCTGTTGATTGTTCATGCCAGTTGATTAGAGCTTTGGCTCTAAACTATTCATAATTCAACTTTATTTTATCATAAACTAGCAGTATTCTGGTGCATAGAATGCGGGCTTTATGGTACATTTTGGGGCTGAAATCCGTCCATTACACGCTAATTATCTAACAAAAGATAACTGCTTTGAAAATGATATTGAAGTGAACCGTAATTGCTTTATTGGATGTATGGACGGCTTAATTAAGACGCAAAGTGGGATCAAACCAGGCAGAAATTTGTTTTTTTAAAAACGTACAAGGATTTAATTAATTTTCCGGGCTGTTTAGATGGATTTTCGAGGGTTCAGAAAAGTTTCCTTCCGAAGCTTTAACGGGAAGTTTCTTGTTAGTTTCACAGTAGAAACCTTGTATTATGGGATCAGATTGTACGAATAACTAAGCAAGTTTAGTGTTTTTGCAAAGTCTTGTACTGTTGCAGAAGGCTAAAGAAAAAAGTGAAGAACTTAAAAATGGCGAAATTGTGCATAAAAAAATCATTTTGTGGCGTTAAAAAGGTAAGAGTCGAAGGACTGTATGAACAGTTTTTCTACATGTTGCCCCTAGATTTGGGGAGCAGGGAAAATTCAAGTAGAAACAAGAGTAATCCGAAAATTTTGAAAATTTTTGCAAATACGCAACACTTCTACTACGCAACATTGCGCGCCCAATTTCTATTGATCTACTTTTTATATATTCATTCAAATTTGAAAAATCCTTATGGAATAGTGTGAATCACCCCCAAAATCGAAGTTAAAAAGTTAACCAAAATTCAAAAAATTGTCAAAAATCAACTTAGAGCTTTTGATAACAGAAAATCAAGCCATCCATATGAACAAATTTTTTCTATCTTTCCGCCCAATTTCAGCGTTTTGGTTCAAGCATTGCAGAAATTATGAATTTTGAAAGTAAAATCTACCAGAAAATTGACTTTGACTGAAGTTTCTTCAAAGTCCTCCAAAGAAAGTGTGCAACTTTAAAGCACAATTTCAAGCAAATTTAAGATCTGCACAACTGAAACTAATAACTATTCAGGATTGCCAAAAAAACAATGAAAACAGAACGAAAGGAATATATTTGAAAGCCAAACAGATATAAGATTTCGCCCAAAAAATATTTCTCCTGAGCTCCCCGGGGGTTGTAGCTTTAGCCTTCCAAGCAAAACTAAAAAATTTTCTAAAATCTATTTATTTTGGTTTAATGCAGTTGGGTAAGTAGGGCAAATGCTCAAAAAATCCTATAGTTGCGCAGCATCCAAAACTATTAACTCTAAGCCAGATTATTTTAATTTGGATCATTCACCCAAAACCACAGCTTAAAGAAATAACTAATAACATTATCAAAAGCAGAAATTTTATGAATGCGGATCTCAGCTAGTTGTTTCCGGAAAATAAAGAATTTAAACAATTTACGCGCGGTTTAGAGGCAATTTTAATACTCCCTCGCGTTCAAATGTGATTCTAATGTTGTAAAAGTTCTCCGAAAGGGCCTGAAGTGGAGGATTATTTACTTTCCAGGAAAAGTGGGTCTGTAGGTAAATGCCCCGAATCTTCAAATAGTAAGGATATTAGGGATCCCCTTTTATTTTTGGGGAAACCATCAGGATTTAGATTATGCGTGAAACCTTCGCCACCCAACAGCAATTCCGGGTCTTTTTCACTAATTTGTTTTACCATGAAATATTTTTGTTTCGAACAAATCGACGACGATGGTGATACTCATTGATGGTGCAAAGCCGTGAATCAAATCCAGCGATATTTTACCCTGTATTATGCAATCAACGTAAATCATTTCGGTTTAGTGGCAAATTGCAGCTTTCAGATCTAGTTACATCTATTTTCAACCACACGGAAGCTGTGGAGCTGCGGAAAATTAAGCTGCCTGAAAAATTTGGCATAAAAACTTATCAGAACAGAACAACGCATGCATCTTTACAAATAAATATTCAATAAAATACACATTATCAAAAGAGATAGACTTTCGAGGCCATTCCTTGAAACTAATGGGTTTTTCGGGTTTTTAGGCCGTCGTTCGGTAGAATTTCTTCCTGACGTTTCGCAAGCACGAGTGGCTTGCATCTTCAGAAGT